ACTTTGTTCGCGAACCCCTAAAAATATGTAAATTATGGATAACACTGAAGTGTGGGGCCATTAGAAGCGCCCCAAAATCCCAATCACACAGTACTTCCGGTGGGGCTCAAACTAGGGGCAGCCAGAACCATTGAATATAATAAAGAGAAAAAAAACGAAGAAAACAGCTGCAAATAAAAAGAAAAAAAAAGTGATATATTCCTCAACCCAATTTCATCTACTAGTTTCGTGTAAAGATTCAGCAGCTTTTCCGATTTTCTGATCAGGTAATTCATGCCTTTATCTGTATATGTTTATCAGGATTTCTTGTTGTTTTGTGTTGAATTTTGATTTAGTGTTTTTTTTTTTTGGGTGAGATTAGATTCAGATTTGTTTGGATTTTGATGGCTTCGAAACGAATATTGAAGGAGCTGAAGGATCTCCAGAAAGATCCTCCTACTTCATGCAGCGCTGGTGTGTATCCTTTTATTTCCTCTTGTTCTAATTTGTCATTTGACTTTTTTTTTATGCTCATATATTTGTGTTAAGTTTTGATTTTTACCTTGTTTGGTGGTTGATCCATGGTTTAGAAACTCAAATTTCAATTTTTTTTTACCTTGGTTGAGATGATTTTTTGTTTGATTTTAGGGTTATGATTTGCTTGATTATTCTAATGGTTCATTGTGAAGTCAAAGATATATAGCTAGATTTGATGACTGGTCAAATGCGTAGCTTGATTTGATATTTGTGAGTAATGTTTGTCCTGCCTTGCACAGCTGGATTAATTCACATACAGAGTAACTCTGGTAACACATTTGACACATGGGTTTGCTATGTTTTGTTCATGTTAGCTCTTTGTCTAAAATGTTTTTCTTTGACAATTATCACTTCATTCATTTCCCTCTATTGTGCATAGCACAAATGGCATTTGCATTGAAATTTGAATAGCCACTTAAGTCTTCTGTGATGCACAAAATAGACGATTGAAACCTTGGAGCCTTAACCTTTTAAGTTTTAAGGGGTGAATTAGTAAAATTATCTTCTTATTTATGATTTCTTAACATGCGTGTAAAAAGGCAAGTATTCAACTAATATGGGACATGGGGAGTAGTAATGTAGCTATGTTACCTTTTTAAGGATAGAGGGGCCATTGCATTATCCCCGAGTTTTGAAGGTTGCAGTGATTGGCCCTTAACGGTTTACCTGGTCATCAAATAAAAAGTTGTAGCTATCTTACCTTTTAAAAAGAGGATCTCTAGCTTATTTTTATGACTGGAGGATTATTTATAAACATGATAGTTTATGTGCATTTCTTTTAATTAGCTTCTGTGTATAATATGATCCATGCTTGACTATCTTGATACATGATATACATCTGGATTTGACAATACTAGTTTGAATTATTGTGAGAGGGCATTTTCACTATTCTTCATCTAGATGTCGCGCACATATTCTTGCATCTGTAAAAGATCTACATGCTATATTATCTGTTATTCTTTGGCATTGACTTCCTAACAACTAACAGGCCCTGTTGGAGAGGACATGTTTCACTGGCAGGCTACAATAATGGGGCCCTCTGATAGCCCTTATGCTGGGGGTGTTTTTTTGGTCACTATCCATTTTCCTCCGGATTATCCATTCAAACCTCCTAAGGTATCTTACAGCTGCGAATTACTTTGAGTTAATGATGTCTCTGCTGATGACTATTCTATTTGCAGATGCCTTATTATTTGGTTTTGCATATTGGAACATAGTTTTCTTGTTTTTTTGACTGTTTTCTATTGGAGTAATTTTTAATGATGTTCATATGGATCTCCTAGTAATGAGCTTGTAGTTGTGGTGCATACTTTTGAGGCATTGCGACCAAGAAGAGAAGTTGATTTTTGCTGTTACCTGATCATGTGTCAGTAGTGAATCCTTCTCTGGCTTTATTTTCTATGCTTGTTTGTTGGACTGCCACCTTGCATGAGAAACAAATTTTCAAGATTTTAGTCTAACGCACAGATAAAAGTACGAGTATGTATTTTGAATGGTTGGTGTTATGCTACTTATATCAGCATGTCACACAATGTTTGTCTTTGTACCTTTTGGTCCAGATAAGGTGATTAAGGAGGAATTACGATTTCATCTCCCAATTTTTATTTTTAATAGTGCCTTGGACTATCCATACTTTTACATCATTTATAGAAAGAATGAATAGGATTCTCTTTAGGGAGGGTTGAGAGTTCAGCTTCTTTAGACTCAAGTTGGTCAGTCTCGTTCAAATCACGGATTTCTTGCTGAAAAAAATCATCGACAAGACTTCAAATGTGCGGATTTGCTGATCATGATCAATATCAACTAGGCTAGGTGGATCTACATGACTCATGTATGTTTTATACACACATACTGATACTCACACACAAGAAAGAAATTGGAAAAAGAAATACATAGATCTATTTGGAGCAAGTGGTTATTGATGGCGACCACACTAGTCTATATTGAGGCATGGTTGTTGATAGGGGTATTTGAAAAATTTTCATGTCAAACAAACTGTTTCTCTTGTAAACCTTTAGTTGGTGAACCTGAACATGTAAATTCATGTGCATCAGTTTATTAACTACAGTTTCCCTCTAGACTTTATTGTGTAACATTTATTCGTTAAATCCTTGCAGGTTGCTTTTAGGACAAAAGTTTTCCATCCAAATATCAATAGTAATGGGAGTATATGCTTGGACATACTGAAGGAGCAGTGGAGCCCTGCCTTAACTATTTCCAAGGTCCTTTTTTACCTTTATCTGCTGAGAAATAATACAAGCTATGAAAACATACCTATTCCGAGGCTTGGGCCTTTTCAAATCAATTTTGATTCATTAGCTAATTGTGTATAATCTGAAGGATAGCTACTGAAACTTTATCGACGCTTTAAAAGGGAAAGATCATTTAATTGGGCATCATAGATAATGGGTGACCTAATATTATTCCTTAATAGCTTTAGGGAGCAATGATGAAAACATTTTAACCGTCTAATGTGTCCTTAAAACACTTTGATTTCGGTTGCATAGGATAAGATCTTGTCCCCGATTCTCTGCTAGTAGCATCATTTGTTTTTTCTGAAATTATGAATTCTGTTAAATGGCTTTCCAAGACCAGTCAAAACTGGTTTGTGTTTCGCGAAGCATGTTGTGTTATTTATGTTTCTTAAGGTGGGAAAGGATTCTGGATTACATTTCAGGTTTTGCTTTCAATTTGCTCGCTTTTGACGGACCCAAACCCCGATGACCCATTGGTTCCTGAGATTGCTCACATGTACAAGACAGACAAGTCTAAATACGAAGGAACTGCCAGGAGTTGGACCCAGAAGTATGCCATGGGTTAAAACATTTAACCTTATGATGGCTTGAATTGATATAAACAAAAACAAATTTCAAATGTTTTGTTTTCTCTATTCTCCATTAACAATGTGTAGAATAGCATTAGGCGTTGCTCCTCTACAGGAAGAACGATGATGCTTTGAATTTCTTTATGTATGAATGCTAATATTTGAATTTTGAACATGTGTGGGAAGCGTATTTATCTGGTTTTGGATTGTTTCTTTTGGTTCGACGATCTATTAGTGTAAATATTTCCATACTTCAAAAGCCTTTTGTAAATTCTATCGTGTTTATTATTACGGATAACTATAGTTCAGCCTGGATATAATTGCTTCCCTCCATTTTTTTGAGTGTATTCGGTAATATGTCCGAGTTAGTTTGTGTGCATCTACAACCAAAGTTTCAGCAGAAATCACCTAGCTTGTCTTTGCTGGAATTCAAACCTAGGTTCTCTTGTTACTATGGTCCGATTCTTCGGGTACTTAACCATCTAGCGCGTTGGGGTTTTATTCATTGCCTGACTTTTCTCTTCTTTGTATCGTTCCAATTATTTCGGATGTCTCCCAAAGGATCATTGCTTACATGATTGAATGTCTAGGAGTATTAGTGTTGTTGATCCTTTGCTTGGATCCTGAGCTTGATGACAGTTAAAAAGTGAGTGAAAAGAGATGAAAATCAAATTCTTTATCTGATAAGTTGTCAAAGAATCCACTTTTTTTTTTTTACCAACGTGAGTCACATTTGGCAATGATTTCCATTTTCTTTTTCTTGTTACTAATTCTGCAACTACAATCCAAACTTCTATTTATTTTCTTTTTGTAATATACTATAGTATATAATGTGAAACTGCGATAAAGAAAAAACAGCAAGCAAGCCTAACTTTAGTTAATTAAGACGTTAGTAAACCTTTCGATGATGAAGATTCATATAATTGATTTCGACTCGTTTGAAATTTACACGTAGTTATTTAGTTGTTTTTGCTCTTATGAATTTATAATTTGTACATATTAAATATGTTTTTAAAATCAAGATTAGTTTGAGCCAAAACTATTGCATATGTAAATGACAAAGATAGACCACAATTTGAAGCTTATAAATTCAAAATTTTAGTCATTCAAAATTATTTAATTTTAAATTAATAATTTGTACATGCATATTTGATAAATTTCATAATACAAAAGTAAATTTTGGATTAAAACTACTGAGTTCAGCGGAATCCATACCCCTGTCCCTTTACAAAATATTGAGTACGAATACGAGAACGTGTGGGACAGTGAACAGCTAAAGGTTTCAGCAGCAGACAAAACTTGCTATGAAAGGATTACCACATGCAAAAAAGAAGAAGAAGACAACAATGCGATTCTCTCCGTTTCAATTTGTTTGTCCTATTTTAACTTGACACAAAGTTAAATAAAATTTTAAAAACTTTTGAATTTCGTAATCTTAAATTAAAGATATGTCAAATGTATTGTACTTTAATTATATGGTTTTAATGAAAAGTTAAAATTAAGAAAGTAAGACAACCAAATTGAGACGAAGAAAACACAAAATGATTAGGCTAAAGGACACCAAATCCAGACCACTAAAGTAAGAACAGAGCTATACCTTACATTCCAAGTGATCTCTAAAATTTCCCAACCAAAAAAGAAAACATGAAATAAACAGAATTTTAAAAAGTAAAGGCAAGGTAACCTTTTCAAGTATAAAATGAATTGATTAATGCTGCATTTTTACTATATGATATATGAAGATGAATAATAGTTATAAAGATTTGCATAATCTTAGTGAGAGAACAGAGGTTTTATATGATGAGATTAGTGATAGAATTCGTCGCGAAGAAATTAATTTCTGTACACACTGTGCTGAACATGGTCGTTATTGCGGAATCGAAGAACTCACAATGGAAGATAAGGAGAAATTGATTGGCATTCAAGACTCATTAAAGGATCTTCAGAACATGCTCCAGTTCTACCAGGTTTTACTAATTAGTTCCTTTCGTTTTTAAATTTTTGTTTATTTATTCTAAATGAATGAGTGACATAATCAATTACTAACGATTTATGATTTTAGCTGAGATGGTCATACACGACTCAATATATAAGTCTTCATGGGTTTGAGTCTTATAGCGATCACCAATTTATCAAAATGAATGTTCTCATGTTATGGGACGGAGCTAGAAGGTTAGGTATATGCTAAGTCGAACACAATAATCTTAGTTTTAACTCTATATTCATATTAAGAAATCCACTTAATAAATACAAAAGTTAAACTCAAAACCTAGTTATTAACACCTGATGTCACTATCCTAGAATGTAGAACCTATAAAATTAAAATTTTAGCTCCGTCTCTGTCTAACCATAAACAAATTTTAATTCCATGTAAAACATTATGTTAAATATGCAAGTAAATAAAGTATATTCACTATCTATTTACATGAGCTATCTTTTAGTAAGTAAATACCATCAACTTTGGGACAAATAGATCAACACTGCTTGCGTAAAATCCTGCATGCGCCACTATGGTATGGTAACCAATTAATTTTTACTTGTGCAACGCAGGCATCAGAGTCTCGGCAGCAGAGACATCACAATGGCGCGCTTGTCCGTTTGGAAGCAAGTAGAATGGTACTGATAGACAAATTAAACAAGTATCCAACATGGGGAAATAAACTAGAAGTGATTGAGGAGCTAAAAGAATATTTTGGCAAAGGAATTAAAGATGCATTATCATGTTCTGAGAATTTGGCAAAAACAGAACAGAAACAGAGTAAAGATGAGAAAGAAAAGAAGAAAAGTTCAAGTTTTTTGGTCATTTGCATAAAAAGTTTATTTAATCCATGGAATTGGTATCGTACGACAAGAATTGCTGCGATAGCTTTGATCGTTAACGTTTACAGGAATAGAATGCAAGATAAGAACAAGATGTCTGTTCCAAGATTGAAAATTGGCTATTTAGATAGCCAATTAGCTGTTACATATGGAAAGGGATAACCATGCGTGTAAAGTAAGAGTCGGATCGTAAGGATCTATTGTACACAGTCTTATCCTGCATTTCTACAATACATTATTTCCACAGTTCAAACCTGTGACCTCCTGATCACATGACAACAACTAACAACTGTAGTAGCTACGCCAACGCTTCCTTTCAAGGAAAGGGAACAATTTCAATCAAAAATTTAGATTGAATACATAGTAGTGTATTAATGTATATAGTTTCATTTGTTTATAATTAAGGATGAAATAGCCTTGTGTTATTAGTAATGAGCATGATTCCAATTTATTTGTGTAAGGCATATATATTATAGATATATTGGTATAAAGTATACAGTATCTGCGTACATATTTTGTAAACTACATGGCCCAAAGGTGTTGGGCGGTAATCTTCTCTAAACGAGAACTGTTATGAAAGTAGCTATTGGGTCAAGAAAAGGTAATAGGACCAGAAGGTCTTCACAAAGGTTGATTTGTGATTCAGACCCAATTAGCAATGGGTTAAAAAGGACTCGGGATCAGAAAGAAAGGGTTATGCATATTGTGATTATACTTAGGCAAAACCTATGCTTCTCATCCCCAATTCCATCTATATCCTCTCATCCATTCTTCTCCCATCGGTTACTCTTATCTTATTTATGTCTATCAAAACGAATAAATAAGTTTTCAACTATATATAGTTTGAGATGAAAGCAATAGAAATGTATTGTTCGATCGCTTGTAAAAATATATAACATCACATCTTGTTAATGTTAGGAGAAGAATTTTGAGGTCAACAAATGTGTTGTAGCTCAAAATGTCAAGAGTCGATCAGAGGCTGATGCAAGCTATGTACTATGGATTTAACTGAACTCAACACTTTCGACATGAAACATAATATATATGTGTGTAAAAACATAGTAAAATATCATCAAATAAAAATTCGAACTCATAATATCAAAAGTACAATGAGTACGATGATACTAAGAAATTAATAGGTCCAAAGAAAAGCTCCCATGGCAAACTTCCTCTTATGGTTTACATCACCATGAATTGGAAGTCCATATTGAGTAAGCAAACAATCCACCTTCCATTCTGCCATACTCTCATACTCAGCCTTTGTATATTTTGGGTAATGCAATGGCATTTGAAATTCAATTCCCCCACAATCGTTTGATTGTGCCATCGACTCCATACTTCTGCATGACACTTTGTTATTTTCGATCCCAACACATCGTGCTACGCCATTTAATCGTGCCATCGACTCCACACCAACACCACTCATTTTTTTCCTCTCTCTCTCTATAATTACAAATATAATATATGCTTTGGAAATATAAGATTAATAATGTCTTGTGTATTTATAGAGGAATTGGAAGAGAGACACAGAGAGAGAGAGTTCATTAAGCAAATTAAATTATGGACATTGTCGAGGTAGGTGTGTGGTATTATTATTATTTTAGTGGTGATATATTTTGATAATAACGAAGGATTTTATGTTGTTTTTCTATGTGATTTATGCTGATGAATACAATGAATAAGAAAACCAACAAGTTGTTAAAATAAAATTTAAATTTGGGACAATAATTATAAAAAAAATAATTATGTTTCTTAAACTAATAAGTGATAGTTTAGATATGAAACTCACACTCCCAATAGTTTAGGTATAAAACTCAAAAATATAATAAAAATAAAATTTAAGTGTGTTTTTGACACTTATCTCAATATTTATGGTATGGTTTTTATTTCCTTTAAAAACTCTCTCCTAATTATACGTGTAATACAATTGAGATAAGAGATCCTCCTAATTTTCATAGGAAAAGAAACCCTGTTCTTGAAGTAATCAAACTCTTAACATTATTGCCTCATAACACACTTTTTAAGGAGTTTTTATATAGTTAGGGAATACTTAATACCAATCAAAATTTTAATTGATAAAAAAAGGAAAAAAAAACAAATATACTCCCAAACTATCGAAAATAGTATGCAGAGATATCCTCCGTCATACTTTTGGGACATTGGTGCCCCTGCCGTCCAAATACTAGAGCATATATACCCTTTATACTAACAAACATACACGCATCATAATCTTATCTATCGATCCGCCATTTATTTAATATCGGATCGACGGATAAAATTGTGCCACGTGTTCCTATTTAGTCTTCTATTAGAGTGAAAGACATATATGCTCTAGTTTTTGGACGACAGAGGCACCAAAAGTATGACGGAGGGTATCTACATACCATTTACGATAATTCGGAGATATATTTGTCCTTTTTTCCTAAAAAAATATATATTTCAAGTATTATAAAATTATTCTGTTAACCCTACAATTTAACAAAGTGTAAGATCAGTTTTTGCACTCATGGCCTCCATTACTTTTTGCAATTTGCATAGCTACACCAGCAATAGTAGTAATGCATTATTACCAGATGACATCCTTCACCTAATCCTCTCTTCTCTCAATCTCAGATACAGAGCAATTGCTTCGCGGGTTTGTAAAAATTGGCATGACATTATATCATCGTGCAACATCAACGACAACGTATTACAAGAACAATTTGTTTATACCCGCAGATTCTGTGCATACTGCTGCTCTCGCATTGTTCATCGAAGAATCTGCTCTCACAGCCTCTACTCTATAGTTGTCAAGTTTGCTTCCGACAACACCAATTTCACGGAAGTATATTTGATTGCTGCTGTTACCTCATTAACATTGTCCCCTGCAATTTTTCAAACAAGAGTATTGTTAACAGTTTTATGTTTAAAAAACTGCAAATTTTGTTGGAGAAGAAGTACAGAGAAATCTGGAAACAATAAAAAAGAGAAGGAAAACTGCGACTTCTTTCAATTTATGATTAATTGGAAGTTACAAAATAACAAAATATGCCCACATGATATATAGGCTAAGTGATAAATAACTAATCCTAAAATATAGGTCCTATAACCCCACTAAAACACTGTTTCAGCAACACTAGGAAACTACCTAACAGAATGCAGAAGACTAGTTCAACCAAACTATCCATGTCCTAATGTACGTGTTCCTACTTTGTTTTGAATCACTTTTCAACATTCCCTCTTGATTCAAAACTACAGACACCAAATAATCCTCTGAAATAGCAAAATTTCTCTTTAGATAAAGCCTTGGTAAGTACATCTGCCAGCTGGTCTTGTGTCTTGCAATACTCCAACAATATTTCCTCCTTTGCTACCAAATCACGAATAAAATGGTAACGGATATCAATATGCTTTGTCCTGCTATGGAATGTTGGATTCTTGGTCATGGAGATAGTTGCTTTATTGTCACAAAATATCTCTGTTGCACCCTTCTGCACTTGTTGAAGGTCTGCTAATACTCTTCTTAGCCAGACAGCTTGACAAGCTGCTGAAGTTGCTGCAATATACTCAGCTTCTGAGGTTGACAATGTAGCTGTAGCTTGCTTCTTTGAACTCCAAGTCACCGCACCTGAGCCTAGAGTGAAAACGTTTGCTGAAACACTTCGTCTGTCATCCAATGAACTTCCATAATCGCTATCTGTGTACCCACACAATCTGAAATTATTGGTATTTGAGTACCAAATGCCATAGTCCAAAGTTCCAGCAATGTACCGCAAGATTCTCTTTGCTGCTCCATAATGTACCTTTGAAGGTTGCTGCATAAACCTTGAAACAACACCAACAAAAAATGCAATATCAGGTCTAGTGTGCGTCAAATATATTAGACCTCCAACCAAGCTTCTGAACCTCCTTGCATCTGCTAACTCTTCTTCATTCACCTGCTGCAATTTTTCATTTATAATCATTGGTGTAGCCGCAGGCTTGCAATTGAGCATGCCAAATTTATTGAGAAGGTCTCTGCCATATTTCCTTTGTAAAAGAAATATTCCATCCTCAGTTTGGTGGACTTCAAGGCCCAGAAAATAATGCAATAACCCCATATCCGACATCTCAAACTCATTCATCATTTGAGACTTGAAATTATCCACAAGAGAATTAGAAGAGCTACTGTAAATGATATCATCAACTTAAAGGCATACAATGATGAAATCATTACCTTCCTTCTTCACATATAATGTGGGTTCATTCTCACTTCTCATGTATCCATTTTTCTGGAAGTAACCATCGATCTTGCTATACCACGCTCGAGGGGCTTGTTTCAAGCCATACAATGCCTTTTTCAGCTTGAACACCTTTGTTTCATTGCCTTCCTTTATGAAACCTTCAGGTTGAGTTACATAGACTTCTTCTTGTAAGTCTCCATTGAGAAATGCCGACTTGACATCAAATTGGTAAACTGGCCATTTCAACTGTGCAGCCAATGCTAGAACCAGCCTCACTGTTTCAAATCGAGCTACCGGAGAAAATGTTTCTTCAAAATCAACACCATACTGCTGTGCATAGCCTTTTGCCACAAGACGAGCTTTGTGCTTTTGTAGGCTACCATCTGCAGCAAATTTTGTTTTAAACACCCACTTCAGACCAATTGCATTTTTCCCTTTTGGTAACTCCATCATTTCCCATGTTCCATTCTTTTCAATGGATTTCATTTCCTCCACCATTGCTTTCCTCCATTCTTCTTTTTCTGCAGCTTCTTCATAATTTAAGGGATCTGAAACAGAAAAAGCAAATTGACAAGTCGCATAAAAGTTATTAGCATACTTGGGATTTGGCGTTCTAAGCCTTGTTGATCTTCTTAATGGAACTATCCCATCTGAAGACTCTTCATGAGTTGCTGAAATCGGTGAGGTTGGTAACTCCATGGAAGAACCTGAAAGTGAACTTGCAGGGGTTGACCCTTTTTCTTCTTCTTCAGTGATTCCAAGAGGCATAGGAGTTTCTTGTCGCACCAGCTTTTCACTCCAATCCCAACTTGCATTTTCATCAAATATTACATCTCTTCTAACTGAGATCTTGCCATTAAAAGGGTTATACAATCTATATGCTTTGGAGTGAGTACAATAGCCAACAAAAATGCATTTTTCAGATTTTTCATCAAGCTTTTGACGAGCTTGTGAACTTACCAAAGCATAAGCAACACACCCAAAAACCCGTAAATGACTTACATTTGGTTTCCTACAATGCCAAGCTTCATAAGGAGTTTTATTCATAACAACTTTTGTTGGTGAAAGATTCAACAAGTAAATAGATGCTGCCACAGCTTCTGCCCAGAACTGATTTGCGAGTTCCTTTGCTTGCAACATGCTCCTTGCCATCTCCACCACAGTCCGGTTCTTCCGTTCAGCAACACCATTTTGCTCTGGGGTATAAGGAGTTGTTAACTCCCTATGG